TTTTTTTTTTCTTCTTGCAAGCCTAGGGAGAAGAATCTCATTTCATTGGAAACGACTGCGGAAACGAAAGAAAGTGGGATGAAATTGAAATCAGGCCAGGCGGGGGAGAGGACGGTCGAGTTACGGAAAATCCGGAAATCGGTGGAAAAAAAGGAGAGGGAGAAGAGGTCGCGAAATCAGAGCCTCTTTAAACCTTTTTTGCCCGGTACACAGACGGAAATTAGCGGTTGCGATCAACAAAGGGGCCGAATTCAAGCTGTGTGTAACGAGAGAATTAGAACGGAATGGATTTTTCTTTTGTCTCCTCTCTCTCTTTTTTTTCCCTTCAATCATCTCTTCTCATCTCGAATCTTTTTTTTGAATTTACTCGTTGAAATAAATTCCTTCCTCGTTGCTTGTAGAGCAGTGAGAATGCTTTAAAAAATTCAATTTCATCGAGATCACTTTGAAATTTTGAAGAATATCGGTTTAATGAGGATTATTTCGTCTAGGAAAACGAAATTAAGTTGCTCTTTTTCTTGTGGATATTCTCTATCCCTATTCAGAGAGATAAATTTCCATAATTTTAGACGTGGAAAATTCGAAGCCAATCTCCTCGATATATCATCGAAAGATTCAATTTAACTCTGCGACGAACCCACTTCCTAGTATATATCCAGTTTAATTTCACCAAATACAATATTGATTCTGCCGTAGTTTCTGTCATTTCTGTCGTTTCTGTTATTTCAAATATTTGCGGTTTTACTCTCGCATCACAACCGAAATCTTCTCACCTCGACAAATCCTTTTTTCTTACTTAACAATGGAAAAACATTCGAATGCTACGTTTACTACACTAAGAGGAACCGTTCTCCTCGTATGGTAATATTCGCAGACGCGACAGTGATATTCCCTCGCGTGATGTAATTAATCACAGTTAAATACAAGTCAATCCTCCCGTAACACGATTAATTCGTGTTTCACACTTGAATTAATACAAATCAAACGTCAACAAAGATGGATGAACGATGGAAAATACCGCAACAATGTTCTCGAATCGAGAATGCAGATATCGTGAGATGCCAAATTGTCGAGATTATCAAACGATACGTTGGCAGAGAGTGGCATTTATATTTTCTTCGATTAGCTGTCATCAATGGACGGCAATGAATGCTTCGACAGGTATCCTGTTAATACAAGCACCAAAACTATCAAAATCGCGTTTTCAGAGTATTTTCAAAAACTTTCGTTACGAATTTTTTAACGAAACACTGGCCAATCGCGAAGCTCGTAATTTAATCGTACAGAAGAACAAATCCAACATATTCTCGAAGAAAGTTGATATAACTTAAAAAAATATTCAATATGTAATTATTTTTCTGAAATCAGACGTTTCAACATTTCTGAGACACCCCACATTAATGAGTTAAATTGAGCTCGAAGCCTCCTTTTTTGATTCGACTTGAAACAACTTCTTTGTAATTTACTTGTGCAATTTTTCATTTATTCATCCCTAAAGAGATGAAACATAAATAATAATATATCGAGTCACCGATCGATGCAAATCTCTCGTGCGAAAAGAAAAACTTTTCGAGATCGAAACGGGATCATGCAAATGGCCGAAAACGGCGCAATAAACAATGCAGAGGATCGTTTAGCTCTCGTACCGTTCCTTATGGATAATGCACGGCGGCGCAATCGTGTCGCGTCACGTGTCACGCGCCAACTCCCGACACCGGCTAACGATGCAACGACAAATTTATAGGGCAGCTGAAACGGCGCGACGTTCCCTCGCCGTTATCGACCGGAATCCGAAAATTAGATTTCCGCGATTTCCACGGATTTGAACGCGTGGAAATACTGGATGGAGAGTCGAGAACGGTTGCCAATTGATCGGAGTGGAGGACGACGATAAACAATAATTCCTTGGACAAATGGGATCGGATGGTGTTCTCGATCGTAATAAATAACCAGGGATCCCCTTCGGTTTCGCGCGTGGAAAACGACGGATTTCCTGTACTTTTCTCCTTCCTCCCCTCGTCACTCCTTTCAATCTCGCGACGTAATTTTCTCCCTCCCCCTGACTGACGTTTCTCGACAACAAAGTTACAAATTTGAAGAGTGGAATAGGGAGGATTAATGCGCAAATATCAAATCGATAAATGGATAGATGATTTTATAGATTGATTTGCAGGACGTGATTTTGATTGGATATAAATCTTCTGATATAAATCATCGTGTATGAATATTTGAGAAATTTTAGGTATAATAAAATTATGGCAGATCGTACGGTTAGGTCGTATGCAATAAATACGATTTATTCGATTCTGATTACAAATTTATGATTATGAATATTTTCGGAGGATATATTTTTCCATCGTTTTTAGCACGAATTATCGTTCGTAAATATTGGATGATACGTGAAATTTGTGGGAAGATAGGTGTAACGGAAATTGAAATTTTAATTATTCTTCTCTCCTAGAAAAGTTGAAAGAGAGATAGATTAAGATACTCGTGAATTATTAAACGTTAATACGACAAGGCTAGAACTAATCTTGCAAAGTAATCCGGGCTAGAAAGTTCAGTTATTGCTTAACTTGCATTCAAAGTAAAAATTCCATTGCTTTCTAAGTTTTTGCTTGTGAAATATAAAGTGGATTAACGAAAGTTTTTTTTCCCCCTTTTTTTCTTTTTTTTTTTATAACACTTTAAACAATCCTCGTTTGAGCGAGATTTTTATTAATTTATAAGAGTGACTTTATTCTCAAACAACGAATTTTTTTTTTACATTATCAGTTTCCACGAGAATGAAAATCTCTCGATAATTAATCCTAACAAATGTGATTCTATTACGTAAACGCGACAAAATATATAATAAATCGTTTACGTTTCGAATAATATTTTAATACAACGATGTTTCGTTACAAACATTGTTATTTAATTATCAAAATACGAGTTTAAAGCGTGGCAATTTTTTTTTAACATCGTGTATTGACCAAACGTCTGAAATATCTTTAATATTCGTGTATTTAACGAAAAATGAAAACTTTTCGTACGAATTAATTTTTTTTTTTTTTTTTAATGGAATAATAAAATTGTAGGTGAAATGTAAAAATAATATAGGGTTTTTTGAATAAAATTTTTTTACGAGATTGTATATTTTTAGAAACGTGCCATTGAATATTTTTCTCTACTTGTATAACTTTTATGCAACGAGGGTGAGTAGAGCATTAAAAATCTGTATTTGACAGAGAATAATCTACTTCCCCGTGTTCCCTGCATTTTTCCATCTTTATACATTGATGACACGCACGACGATACTTTCTACGATTTATTTGTTATTCCGAAAATAGAACGAATTGTTCGAAATTTGTCGAGTTCGTTCGAGAGGAATTAATATTATCAATTTTACTTTTTCTTTCTTCAAATTTATGAATCGATAATAGATTCGTCGATAAAAATTTCCTTCGATTTTTGTTTATTAATCTACCTACTACCCATCTTTGAAACCGCATCCGTAGAAAAGATCTTAATAAAGGGAACAATGGAAACGCTCGTGGTTAATGAGGCTCGTAACGAAGAGGAAATCAATAATTTTTCCAATAACTTTTATTTTGTTATCGCGTACTTATACTCTCGTTACAAGTATATTAATTAAACGATGTTTGCCGATTGCGCAACATTATTACAAAGGACTCAACTCGAATCAAGAAGGCGCGTAATTAATAATCCTTAAAACCTACGCAAATAGAATTTAATTTATAAAATCACCCATCATTGAATTATTAAGACGAAACTCTGAAAAACGTGTCTCGAGGATGGAAAAGAAAAAGATAAAAAAACAAAAAAGAAAAATAGAAAACGATAGAGAAGAGAGAAAGAATGGGAAAAGTAGAATAATCACGCAACTTGGCCGTTGCTACCTCATATTTTCCAGACATATCAGTTTCCCTGCGTACACTCATAGCTTTCTCGGTATCATATGTACGGATACATATAGCCGACGTGAGCATTGTCACGCCAACAGTCGCATAAACTCGTTCACGCAATGGTGTCATCCCCTGCGAGACTCTAATCTGTGTGTCGTAATGTTATAGTTTCGAAAGGTTGCAGGGGAACGCCGCGAGGAGCTGAGATGGGAGCTGGATCGGAGCATCAGGTCCAGGGCGACCTCGCCGGATCGTCACCAGGTCGATAAGGGAAGGGCCACCAGCCCCCAGAGAGTTTCCGTCGTCCCGTCCTCCGTCGCTGGTGAGCAACCTTTCCTTCCCTACTTACGTTACTCCTCTTTTTCAACTCTGACTTTAGATTTTTTCAAAAGCGATTTCTCTTAAGGGATCTTTGCAAAGTTAATTGTCTCGAAGAAAATTTTAGATATTAGAAAGCGATTTCTTTTAAGGAATCTTTATATTTTTTGAAAGAATAAAACTAATTATTTCGGAGAAAATTTTAGAAAGCGATTTCTTTTAGGGAATCTTTGTATTTTCGGAAAAATAAAACTAGTTGTTTCGAAGGAAATTTTAGATATTAAAAAGAAATCTTATATTTTTTAGATGGATAAAATTAAACCTAAAACTTCTAATCGCTTCGAAGAAAATTTTAAATATTAGAAAGCGATTTCTTTTAAGAAATCTTTATATTTTTTGAAAGAATAAAACTAATTATTTCGGAGAAAATTTTAGAAAGTGATTTCTTTTAAGGAATCATTCTATTTTCGGAAGAATAAAACTAATTGTCTCGAAGGAAATTTTAGATATTAAAAAGGAATTTTTGGTATATTTTTCAGATGAAAATTAAATCTAACGTAAAACTTGATCGCTTCGAAGAAAATTTTAAATATTAGAAAGCGATTTCTTTTAAAGAATCTTTATATTTTTTGAAAAGATAAAACTAATCTAACGTAAAACTAATTGTTTCGAAGAAAATTTTAGAAAGCAATTTCTTTTAAGGAATCTTTGTATTTCCAGAGGACTAAAACTAATTATTTCGAAGAAAATTTTTGATTTCTTTATACTTTTCAAAAGACTAAACTAATTGTTTCGAAGAAAAGTTTTCCTTAATATCCTTGACAATTTTTCTTTTCCTAACAAATAAATAATCGGGATACAATAACGAAACGTCGTAAAAACAATCGACGCTTATCATCAGCTTCAACACTTTCCCCCATTCCC